CCCCAAAACCCCAAAACCCCAAAACCCCTTGAGTCAATTTGTGCTATAAATTAAGCGAACTATAAAATTTTAAAAAATTAGTCTATATTGTCAAAATTGATAATAGCTTATTCACATTACCACGATTATTCGTATTACTATTATTTTAAATCACTCAAATCATTCAACAGATTCAATTATAGTTATGTTTCATATGTCTCAGCACATCATCCATGCCGGCTTCATCCTCCTCGTCTTCACTCACAGATAAGCTTTTTCTAGCATCCCCTCTTTGGTAAATCTTACTTGGATTTTTACTCTTTCTGCCTGAATTTATTGAACTTTCTTTCAAATGCTAGAATAATTGAAAATTTTGTGTCGGACTATTTATTTACCCAAAATTCTTTGGGTTAGCTCGGTAAACATTTTTTATAGCTGGTGGGTTTTTGGGTTGCTGACTCAAATTCAAGATCATTTCTTTCAAGCTGATTTATTAGTAACCTGCTGCGTTAGATTTGTTGCCACTTTAATCCTGAAGCGCTGTTCTGTTTGGTGTTACTTACCTAAATCAAGATCTATTTTGCAAATTTGATCTCTTGATGATTTCCTCTTTTTATATAGCTTTCTAGTACTATTGAAGTTGTTCTTGAAAATTCTCAAAACTTAAGGTAGTTTAATTTACATTCTTTTACTACTATTCCTATATACTTAACTTGGGGGGAGTTTTATCGCTTCTTCGCTATGAATTAATGTTTGATTAGGCTCTATTTTAAATGAGTCTCCAGTATTCCTTGCTGTTCATCATATTTGGGGTGATTTTAGAGTCGATTGGCTAACTGTTATTACCATCCACGGTCTTATTCAAGTAATTTCTTGTTCTTTGCCTATTATTCTTATCATTTCTCATCTCTGGCAAGAATATTGTCTATCCCTAATTGAGCTGGTAGTCTCTAAAATAAAGCTAAGTACTCCGAGTGTAATTTCTATAGCTTTGAAAAGTTGAATTGAGATTATTATTGTTATGTTTAGTTGATTTTTTCTATGGGGAATGTTCAAATCCATTTTCAACTGATTTAATTCCAAGCTTTTATATTAATTTTTAGAATAGGGGAGGTATTATTATGTTATCAGAAGGTGCTTTTAGCTCGAACTACTATTACTAATACTTTTACTGATGTTGAGCAGCTATCTCTTTGATGTTATTATGAATGTGAGCATTACTCAGTTCTTTTTTAATGCTTAGATTTCGCTTTGGAGGTGAAGGGCTGTCGTTATGATTAATAAGTTGAGGATTGCTTAATAAATTCTATTCTGTGGTACTCAAAGTTTAGACTGACTATGTTTAAGTCTAGATATCCTAGTTCTTATACTGCTTCTTTAGGACAGACCTCTTATTTGATTCATTCCTAAGATTCTCCATCTTTCTATCCCTTCTCATAATTTATGTGCCAGCGATGATGCTATTAATGTTTGCGTGAGTTGATGCTACCTTGCCTAGAATTAATGTGTTATTCCCCTTACTACAATTCTTTGATGACTTATTTTATTGCGCGTTACTTTGCTTTATCTACGGCGGTGAATCTAATAGTGTTAATCCAGTTCGATATCTTATTTCAGGATTCTCCTGGATGTTCAGAAAATTACCTTTTTCGAGCGATACACTTTGATTGATTACAGAAGAATTTACCAGCTTCACTGCTGGATTAGAATAAGCTTTGATTTCTTGCTGATTAGCTGGTTGAAGTATTACTTCGTTTGAGAACCACTGAGGAGGCAAGTTCCGTATATCATCGGGAATAGCTATATTCAATTCATTCATTAAGTGACTGTACTAAGGTTTATTTCACTTCTCAACTGTGTAAACCATTCGCCTATTATTACTGTTCTATGCTCTTTGTTATAGAGCATTAGAGTACTGTTTGTTGGAATGAGTATTATTATTTAAAGGTTAAGTTTAATTGATATCTGTCAGTAGATTATTAGTATTTTTCCTTGGAGAAAGTTCTACCATGCTGTTGTTGCTATTGTTGGTGAATTTAGCTTTTACACTGTGGTAGCTACCTTGTTTATTTTACCTATTTTAGTTGCTATAATATTAATTTTGCAGTCGCAATCGATTCTTCAAAGTCTTAATGTTGTCTTATTTAAAGATTTTCATTCACTTGATGTCATCTAATGTAAAAAGGGATTAAACATGGAGCTGGCCATTAGGTAGGTCATAGTCAGTCGCCCCAAAGCTGCTATTAACTGCTGTATTTCCACCACTTGATAATTGCTAATATTTTCTCATTATTTATTTCCAATAATAATTCTTGCAATTTACATAAAAATTAATGCTACCTGGGGTTTTGGGGTTTTGGGGTTTTGGGG